GTTGGGCTTCAGTATGAATTTAATTTTTCAATTTTCACTGTCATCTCTGTCTCCTCTGACGTCGGTCACGCAACTCTCTAATAGTTTTTTGCCATAAGGTAAACTTTAAATTTTCCTGTGTCGGCCTGCCGGCTTCTCATGATAGCAAATTTAGACTTTAATCTCGGCACTTGACTCGACAACAGATCTAACTCAGCCTCATAGGAATGAGCAGCGTGATTGCAGACCATGACTATTTCTTGCTGGCGGTGGCATACTGACCGAACATGCTATTGTAGCTACTCACGGCAAATTTGTTAAGCAAATGATAAGATTCTATATCACTCCTTATTGAAATTCGCCTTAAAATAAATTTATTATGAAGTGGTGATTCCTACCATTGTTCTGACAAAAAACGAGCACGCAGCGCAAGATCTCTTCGGCTATAATACTGTCACCAGCGTTGGTGATCGTCTATTCTTACAAGATTTGGTTTCCTCCTTCTTCCTCTTCCTCTTTGGAATTCCTAATCGTTGGCTAGTCTGAAGCAGCGTCCATAATCACAACGGAAATGCTTCAGAAAAAGAAAAAGCTGGCCACGATATTTGATGTGGTCTCCCCCCGCCGCGCGCAGGGAGTCATATAGAACACAACGTGCATTCTTGAAAAAGCCGACGGTAAATCTCCCCGTGCGGTCCGCATGCACTGGGCTAAACTTTCCAGCCCCAGCCTAAATCACGGACACTTATCTCGCTTCTCTGTCGGCATCTACCGTCTATCCTCTCTCCACTCGTATTTTATGATGGCCCAGAATTAATGTTAGGGCAGGTCGATCGTTCAAAGCCTTAAATTGTGTGCAAAAAACTAGCTGCGTGCAAATTGGCCACTTCGAAACAACTAGAACTGCCTTCTACGTGAGTCACGCAATTACACTAAAAAGATGGACAAAAGCAGAGAAACTTAAGGAGAATACTTTGGTGCACGCTTTATCAACGTTTCTCACGTCAACAAACGTATGCTTGAGCAAGGCAAATAAACCAAAATCTCAGTGTGACGCACTCACTTCTTATTTTTGTGAGATCATAACCGATCCTGGTGTGTGTGGTCCTAAGACCCAGAATCCTGCGCGAGGCTCAGGCAGTCAGCAATTAGTCCATTAACGGGTAGGCCTCTCGCCAGAGGCACATGCTAGAGCATAAGTGGTAGGTGGCGTAGAGTGGTGATTATAGAGGTCATTTTGACTCAAGTCCCCTTCGCCGAAACCAAGGCCCATTGCGCGTGAATCCTGGTGGTAAGAACAGTAAAGCTGACAATTATATGAGTACTTCCGATTACCGATACTTCATCATACAAAAGAACTTTCATAATTAAGGTTACCTTACTATGGAACTTCGTTAGAAAATAAAAAATCGGATTTAAAACTGACGAAGAATGGGCTAGAATGAAAACAATTCTGTAGCTAAGGAAATACATAAGTTACGAATACTACCATGTGCTGCCCCGTGCAATACTAAAGCGCGTTAAATGAGATTGTGATGTTGTAAACTAAAAGCTGTTCGCACGAAAAGATGCTCCGAGGTTTATGAGTTGATTGGATTTATAGCGGTTTGCACGTAGCCGCACAAAACGCTATGACTCCGACGTAGAGAACAACAACAGATATCCAGATTACTGAAAAGGAATGAGAATTGAATGGGAAATTACCATACCTTTTCCGATTCCCTCAGATGGAGGTCCTTTTTGTAATTAGCTATATCGCAGAATTTACATCCAGACACGGCTGTCGTCATCTGTAAGCAAATAATATATGTTGAATCACAGAATCTGCAAAATGCACTTGTCGTTACAAAACACATCCCACCCTTACCTCCCCTATAATACATAGAGCGAACACGAAAATAAACAGAACTGAATATGATACTCTTCAAAACATCTACCATTGCTGCCGAGGGAGGCAATAATAGCGCCAGTAACATCAATAACGCACACATTTAGGGGTTTCAAACATTACTCGAGACTGGTAAAACAAAGTTCAACTTTGAATTTCAAACTGGATTCTATTGTCCACATGGGAACAAGAGAAAGGATATACAGGATAAAGACAAATCGCCGGAAAAAAAACTGAAAGCGCCTTGATTGAGGGATCTTCAACGCTGCGTCGAATGTATGCAATATAATCCATCTTTGAAGCAATAAAATTCAACTCAACGAATTTTATGAAAAATTTCAGTTCCTATTGAATAAAACTTGTGAAAGTACATATGTGAAAGACTAACGTACGCGAGGTGAGCGCTCCGAAGAAGAAGAACAGCAGGAACAGCACCACTTCATTTCACCTTTCGACCAAGGTCTGACGTGGCTGTTAGCCGCCACCCTGGCCGTTCATATATACATATAGCCACGTGCCTAGCGGCTGTCAATTGAAAAAGTCCCCAAGCGGGCAGACGTTATCAATCGTCGGTTGCAGATGAGAACCCAGTTGGAAGACAAGTAATTTGTGTAAAGCGATACTCTGCAAACGACTTTCCTTACATTCCACTCCATACTGATCGATCTGAGAACGTCGGTGATCATGTTACGTCTGCAGCTGCCAAACTTCGAATCAGCTGCTTGTGCAAGACGTTCGAAAATTTGAGCGCTACCTCAGGAACCACAGAAAACTAAGGGCATGAGCGAAAAGCATTTTCGGACTATTCTCTGAATCATTCAGCCCCAAAAGTGCATATTCGTATTAAATCCGGAATTAGCTCAGGGGTCGCTTTACGACCGGACTTCAACAGACGTCAAGCGCTTCGAGCTACACAGCCACACTGCGAGCGTTCGCGAAAGTCATGAGAGTATGTAGGGATTCATTTAGTAAGGGGTGGTGGCATGTGGTGCAAAAGGTTATATCGCCTGAAGGACCAATTTTTCGCATGAAAGGAAGCTTCGGGTGGGGTAAAGGCGGAGCGAATTGGTTCACGCACCCTGGGGAATAATTCTCTCTGCAAACATTGGAATTTCTGTAGGCGGCAGCAACTGCCGTTCCACCCTCCCTCTCCCCCCCCCCCTCCCTTTTATGGATGAGACCCAATATGTATTCTTATATGCCCATACAAACTGTATTTGACCATGACTTGAACAGCAGTACGTATCACAATGACAAAATGGGGTTCAGATAAAATTGAGAACTCGAAAAAAAAATCTAAAAAATCCAAACCAGCACAACGACGAGACGAAGGTGCTAGAAGTAAAAGCATGTTGCAAAGTAGAGCTACAGTAAAAGTGAAAAAAATACTTGCTAATGAGACAACGATTTGCAAAAACCTGGGATAGAAAATACTCTAGAACACGGGATGAGAAGCTTTATCGCGGAAGAATTGCGAGTTCTTGAAGAATAAATGTGTTTCGTGGCACAACCATCGGGTCTCTTACGATTAGATGGATGCGGGACGAGAAGATTGGGGAGAAGCCCACTTTCAAGGAATCTTAATCAGAGTTGAGTGGTAATCGAAAAACACGAGGTACCCCCTAGTACGGACCTAATCAAAACAGTAAACAAAGGGAGAGAACCGCCCTTTCCCAGCCAGCACCTACACCTATCATTCGCGCAGACCTACTCAACCACCTCTTGAAAATGCACATAAATGGGGATTGGTACAAATAGAGTAGCTGCGCTTCTGCAATGCAAAGGATGATAAAAGATCTATATAATGAAAGCTACCACTCAACTAAAGCTCTTCATTGTGGAAATTTTGGAGCCTCGGGCCCTACGGCCCGTTCTCTCGGGGAACGTTCAGTTCTCCCTTTCAGGTCGATTCACCAGAGCTGTGCGATGATTGAAGCTTAAGGCTGACTTGGGTTGAATAATTCTTCGTAATTTTATTTAGGTTCGTAATAAGCCCTAAGCCTAGACCCAATCATAGGCTTATGCTTGAGCCTATGATTGGGTCTAGGCTTAGTACTTATTACGAGCGAATCAGAGGTGTCCTTTTTGGAGGTGACCTGACCTGAGGAGGATAGCTAGAACGCACCTTCTCTCTTGTGCCGAAGCCGGCTAGACCTTTATTCGCAACGCAACGATATAAGCAGCAACGTGTCTGCGTCTCGCTCGCCGCTATACTCTTTCATCAGCAATCTCTTCGTAATGCAGAGTTCCCTATCGCCGTGACATTGCCCACCTCACAAAAAGGATACAATTTTAGTGTTTCACTGTTCACTGAGTATCCTTCTTACTCGCTTTTTCTAGTGAAAAAAAAAATTAAATTCAAAACACATCTCTTAATTAATTCTTAGCGGCTCTGCTACAAAGCATTTGACTACCTCTTCTGTAGAGCATGGAATCATTTGAAAACTGCTCGTGTGTAACTTTTCCGCTCACAAGCTGACCTCTACAGCATCTATCTCATTGTTGATGGTAATGCCTTCCATATCATTCCCTATTAGGTCTTTGGTGAAAGCTCGTCGTGGTGAACTAGTCACTACCACATTCAAGAATCAAGCACCACA